TAATGCTAGATACTAATACAAACTGCTGATARTCCTGTCAAGAGGTCTGATAAGACAGTTTTAGCAGCTGGAAACTAATTGCACTCAGTCACTAATTGCATGTATGATGTCAGCATGAAGTGTGGTTTTGTTTTTTTGTTCTTTCTAACTAAGTTAAGTACAGACCTCTCATGTTGTGCAGTTACTTTTGGGGGGATAATAAGACTATTCGAAAGGTGCCTATCAACCATTGTATTTGGACACAGAGAAGGCAAGCAACTACCAACTGCCTTTTTCACATCATTTTTCTATATTCTTTAAGAACCTTCAAAAAAATCCCATCTTAACTCACTACACTACACATACACCCACCACTACCTTAACAGGAGGGGACACTTAACRGTCAAGAAATGAGTGTCCCCTCTCAAGGAGTTTGATGCAAAACCCCAGGATAAAGTGATGTTGTGTGCTTTATGCCTTTTTCTTGCTCTCTCCCTCCTGTCCACGGCCAGTGTTACCAGCATTACAATAACAGCTTTATTCTGCACCTAGAAGTGTTTACCTAAAAATAGAAACCCTGTTGACCTAAAAATAAAACCCCTGTTTACAAATTCTGTATTTGACATCAGCTACAGAATTACCCATCTACGCCCACAGCATCCAAACCTCCCTTGGTTTAGTCTACAGACAGCTGCTCACCTCCAGGCTCGCCTCCAGGGAATGCAGTAATGCAGAAGGTGCCACAGGGCAGGCAGGTCAGCCTCAACCGAGAACAAGGGGGGCTGCTGGAGAGCCAAACCAGCCCACAGCAAGAATGTGCCCTCACAAACGTAAKCACACATCCATTCTAAGCTGCAATGAGCTCTGCTTCAGACAGGAGTCTGTATCAACACACCCCAAAAACACGTCCCCATGTGACTCAGCATCCAATGATTACGCTTATTAGGCAAGCGTAGCCAGCAAACCTAGTCATAAATCCCTTAATCACAGGTCAAAAGAGTTGTCAAAGCCTGCACTGATGGGATCAGGAAAATGTGTTTGGAGCTTTTAAACAAGGAACATTGGCTCCTGTGGAAGAGCAAAAGTACTCAGAAGCTGCATCAGTGATTCGCAAAAAGTGACCTTTTGGACCTGCGTTCTAAAATAACACATGCAGAGTTTAGTTTAGTTTAGTTTAGTTCTTATTTTTAAAGCATACTGGGAAAAGTAAGGCTACAACAGGAGCATTGTGCCCCAGTTCTGAGGACCCCAGTACAAGAGACATATGGACATACTGGAGATAGTCCAGGAAGGGACTGGAGCATCTCTCCTGTGAGGAGAGGCTGAGAGAGATGGGACTGTTCAGCCTGGAGAAGGCTCAAGTGGAGGATTTTGGAAATGTATATAAACAACTGAAGGGAGGGTGCAGAGAGGACAGAGCCAGGCTCTGCTCAGTGGTGCCCAGTGACAGAAGCAGACAAAATGGGCACAAACTGAGACACAGGAAGTTGTCTCTGAACATCAGGGAACACTTTTGTTACTGTRGGGGTGACTGAGAATTTGCACAGRCTGCCCAGGAAGGTTGAGCAGTCACCACTCTTGGAGATCCTCAAAAGCCTTCTGGAGTTGTCCCTGAGCAACCTGCTTTAGGTGGCTCTGCTTGAGCCGGGGGCTGGATCACGTACCTCCAGAAGTCCCTTGCAACCTTAATCATTCCGCGGTTCTGTGAAATAAAAAGATGAGTTCTCTTCAATTACTGATGAGGCACCTCAAACAAGTTCTAAAGGAACACATCAAACTTCATGTAACGTGTATCTACAGAAGAAGCGTTCTTTATRGGCCATCACAAAAAACTTTCTGCCTTAACCTGGGATTTATATGAAGCTGCAACTAAACGGAATTTCAGTTTCTATTAAATTGCAGATGTAGTTTTAAAACCTGGAGACAATTTTAAGTATTCTCAAGGCATGTTTAGAGAATACTGCCAGTGGGKTTTTTTTCCTCATTACCACAGGCAAATATTAAATATATACAGTGACCCAAGATGCAAACAAAAAGGATTTTTCATTGCAAGTAAACAAGYTGTGAATCATTACCTTCCATTATTCTCAGAAGCAAAAAACCTGTATTTTCAATCATTTAAGCACCTCTGAAGAGCTGGTCTTGTAAGCCATGGAATTAAATTTACTGCTATCAGAGCATGCACCAGGAGAAAGGACTGGGTGTTCAAGAGAGAAAGGGCACTCCCACCCACAAATACAGTATTTCTGATTTGCATCTGATAACTGCTCTTCCAGTTTAGTCAAGACAAGAAGATTTACTCTGCAAATGAAACCGTACTATTAAGGTGAAGAAAAAACATCCAGAACTTACTCTCTCTGAAGACTGCAGAGCCTGTTAATATTTATGAAGTCTGAAGTAGCTTCAAAGACTCCTTACTTCATTTTCTTATGTCACAACAAAAAGCAGCACTAAGTCATTAAATTTTTAGGGGAGTTCACAACTAAACTGTAACTGTTTTAGTAAATTCTGACCTCTAGGAAGAGGCCTAATTTCTTTGGTTTGTGAGTGTGTGTCCTACAGCAATGGCAATGGACACAAGGTGCAAAGAGGAAACTTATATGTTCAAAATCTTCAAAGACCAAAACACAAAAAATCTCAAAACATCCAACATTATGACTGAAGCACTACATTTGTTGCATTTCTGTGCACAGATTATTTCATGGRTTGACCTGCCAGGTTAAGGGCAGTAGGCAGAGAAAATATCGGTTTTGAAAAACCCTGATCAAGCACTTACTTTCAAAAGCTTTCCCTCTGATCAAACTCYGTGTCATAAAAATAACACATTAGAGAAAGTGATCTCTCCTCCTAGCATTGATGTTGCCATGCAGATACTATTCAACTGAGAAAAATCCACACAGGAAAGAAGCAGAATCAGTCTTACAGGATAAAGCTAGAAAATTATGTATTTTATTTAGGCMTGGCACAGGTTTGGACAAGACAGCCTCCAAATCAAGATGACAGAATTTTCTGCACAAAATAYTGGAGTATTTTGGTAATAGCCAGGCTTTGAGGACTTTGCAGTTAGAGAGTACCACTGCTAAATCTGAAATACTGGGCGTAACGAGAGGGAGGGAGAGACTATGACAAACCATTGAATAGCTACATACCTATAACCAAAAAAAAATCAGTGAGGCATAAGTTGCCCTTGACTCAAACCTTCCTCAACTGTTTTTATTACCCAGACCAATAAAAAACAAAACATCAGAAAATGTGATCTATTACTCCCTAAATAAAAAAAATCATTCACTGTAAAATTGTTAATGTGACCATATGTTGCACAAAACACAYAGACTGGTGTTCAAGAATCCCTATGGACTTGGTGGTGATTCAGTTAAAAAGTAAAATCTGAATTTTCAGCAAATAAAATGGGAAGAAGAAATGGGATCTTTGTTATTCTTCCAACAGATCTGTCATCACTCTGGAAGTTAAACAGTTAATGTTTCTCCCTAGCTTTGAGGTCTGTGTATTAAGGATTGAATGAATACTCAAGTATTTAAATTAGGCTGAAGACACACCAAATATATGCAGTATCACATGTATGTACTTCACATGTACCACAATGTTTCATACCCAGGACCTGTACAGCAGCACTAATCACTTCCCAGATACTGCAAGGGTTCCCTTACCAAAAAAAAAGTATTCCTCTTGGGGTTTTTTTCYCCATGTCTCAAACCACACTGAATCTCTTCGGCATGAAATGCTGCCCCAGCCATTCATTTTTATAATGAATTTCTATTCCTGTAAGCTTTGAATATCACTCATGGGAAGAGAAGGGGTATGGCAAGGGAACAGTTTCTGCTGTAAATCACTGGGAATTAGTTTCCAGCTGGGAAGACAGCAACGCTGCCATCAGCCCCCTGATTTTGCCTCCTCAATTGGGAGCTCCCTTCTACCAGTCTCTCTGAAGCAGGGTGTCACAAAAGAGCAGAGCCAGGACACGCTTTTCCYAGTGCTGCCCTTAATTACTCCAACCCCCACAGGCACTGAATGTCAGGTCACCAGGGCACAGAGATGCTGGCAAGGCATCAGGCAGGAGGTCAAAGCCTGRGTGATGCCTTCACCCGGAGCAGAAGCCAAGGAGTGGCACATATACATCCCAACAGCAGCACCCTACCCCAGGCTGCCTGAGAGCCACCCCCTGACTAAGGACATGCAGAGCAGATCAGGTCTCAATAGTGCCACCATTAAATGAGAAAAAAAAAAAAAAACAAAAAAAAACCAAAACCAAACCGAACAGTCTGATACTTGAACTCAGGTTAGTCCCACCTACCACCGTCCAAAACCAGCTCCAAGAGCTTACCTGCAGAGCTGAATACATGGCATGGCTCAGCTTCAGCTCAGTCTGGCATCTCAACCCAAAACCACCTTTATTAGGGCAGGGAGATGAGCCAAACATTCTTGTGGCCACCATAAGAAAAACAGTGAAACATAACTCAGGCTTTCATGGAATTCTGCACAATTTGGTGTCATAACAACACCAGTTTTATATTTCACAAGTTTCAGAGCTAGTAGCTTAACTGTCAGCTTCAGAAGAACACAGATTGGGACTAAAAAAAGCCTTTTCTTTCTGAATAACTAGATATGGTATTTGATAACTAAATACGGTATTAAAAAAAGTAGCTGAGCTCATACTTCTAATTCTATGGAATTAAACTATTTATCACACATTAAAAGCAAAGGCAGGATACCGCTAGATACTGCGAAGCACAGGGACCTGAAAGCCCTACTTTATTAAATATTTCCTCTCCCCACCCACAGCTCAACCACCACTGGAAATGTGATRCCCGAGAAGTTGTCCATCATTCATTCCATAACTGCACAAGCTTAACAGCACCACATCTACTCATCCTAAACTCCTGACCTGCAGCAACAAGGCACGATACAAAAACATGACAAAAAGCTGTCACTTCCCCATTCGTGCACACAAGCCCAGCAATGTCCCAGAGAAACACACAGAGGGCCACAAAATATGTGCATACCTATTGACCTGTCTGAAGGAGTCCAGGCTGGCCGCCTGGATTGTAAAACAGCCGTTTACCATACCATCCTCTCTATCTCCTTGAAAGTAAGCTCTCCAGCAACATTCCTCTGCTTCTACTGCTCCAACACTCCCGTGCCTCATTGCTCCACACCAAGATGCATCCAGACACTGCGGGCTCTGAGGGATCAGTGCGTTGCTGGCTGCTATTTAACATGAACATGTGGCTAGCTCTGAAGGCAGYTAGGCTCAGCCACCGCTCAGCAGAACCTGCATTCCTATTGCTAAATCGGATGCCACCCAGTTGCCACCCCGGCCGGGGGCGGGAAGAGGCAAAGGAGGGTGTGACGCAGCTCGCACTGCTGCTCCCTCGCCAAGGGAGATCCCTGCACGCAGTTGGGAAACACCGCCGAGCAGAGCCAACGGCCGGGAGCGCGGCTCCGGCAAGGACCGGCCCCGGCAGCCGCCACASCGGCCCCGCCACAGCAACCGGGGGGCCCGCCTAGGTCGGGCTGCGTGTGCACACAACGATGTGACCTTTACCGAGTTCACCGCCGCCCCATGCGCTGTGTTTACTACAGCTGGTGCCTTCTGGCTGGTGGCGGTGATGCCACCGCCTGTCCCCGCAGCCCAGGGCGGCTCCTCGGAGCCGGAGGAGCGCGGGGACGGGAGGAGGGCCACTGCTCCGCCCGGGAAGCGGGGAGGGGACAGCCGGACACCCCCTGCGCGCACGGGGACCGTGTCCCGACTGCCGCAACGGCCCGGACAGCTGGGCCACCGGCCGAGGTCTCCGTTGGCTCCCGCTCAACCCCCCGGTCCGTCCCTTCCCCCCAGCCCCGAGAGACCCGAACAAAAGGGAACGGAAGCACCAAGAGACAGTAACCCCCTCCCGAGGGTCCCCGTCCGGGGRTGGCGAAGGGCACCGCACCCCGCACACAACCCTGCCCGGGGGTGGTGGCGCCGGGCTAGTGTGTAAAGGTACGGACATCCAAAACAACAAAAAAAACATTAATGATTGCTGTTATTCCCCCGTGACGGCCGGCACGGCACTCACCCTGCTCGGAAATCGGAGCAAACTCTCATTCACGCTCCCCGCCGTGCCCAGGCCGCCGGAGCCAGGCGACGCCCCGAGAGCCGCCGGCCGCTGCTCTGGGCCGGGCCGGGCGCCGCCGGGGCCGGGCGCGCCCGCTCAGCCCGGACAAAGCGCGGCGTCGCTGGGGGCGAGGCGGCAGCAGGT